TCTTTATTCCTGACTTGATTATTACCAAATATTTACATTTACAGAAACAGAAATTCATGAATCACTTGAAGAGGACTAAATACTCATCAATAAGTATATTATGTGTCAAGCAGCAATGAATTAATATTTTGTAACGGAATTTTAAATTGCTCTCCAGTAGCATTGGGAAAAAGAGATGGAAGAAGAGGCAAAAGAAGATAGGGGAAAACCTAGATATTAGGTGGGGTGGGAACCTGTATCTGAATCGCTACCAAAGTCTAAATCACAATCTTCTACTATTGCCAATTCATTTTCTATTGGCTCCTCAAATGTTCACTTCAGTGTTGAGAACTATCAGTAGAATTTATATATTAGACCTTCTTAAATATTCATTAAATTAAAAAAATCTCAGAACTGATCAACAAGATTTTTAAAAAATTCATGTTAAAAATAAGGTACAATCACTACAAATCTTTTTTGAAATCCAAGCCATTTTCCACCTGCATAATATTCAAACCACAGACCTACCAAGCTGCTGTGGCAGAAACCTCTGGGAGATGCTTGGAAGAAAAAAGACAAAGCTACAATTTCCTATAAACACAGGTCTAATCAGAACACTGTGAGTCTGACTGCGTGCGTAGTGCCGAGTTGGCTTTATCTGCTCTGAATCTATTAAATATGATGACTCTACATCATTTATTCTAATCTACTTCTGATCTTTCAAAGCAATGCAAACAGCCTACCTCTTCTAGACTGAGTCATGAAAATACTAGCTTTCAATAGTTAAGATGTCTGTTATACAAATAACGTATAGTAAAAATGTCTTCAATGGACCGACCCCATAGCTAGATAACAAGACTGAAGTCCAAGCTTGTCTTCATCTCATCTTAACCACTAACATGCTTGTTAATATGTCTAGGCAGATGGCTCTGCCTCCTAGATTAAGCCTTGCCTTCTACGTATAAAACATGCCAAGCCACATCAAAATCTAGGAACCAAAAGGTTCGATTCCCGCTATTTCTAAGAAACACAATTTCTGCCATATAAATGAAACTGGGTGTCTAGAAATCACATTCCTACAGTGACCAGGGATCCCATCTCAATGTCCATACAGCACTGTGAGGAGCCCTTTCCTATCTTCCTTCTCATCAGCTAAACAAAGCAGAGCTGCATTGTTGCGCTCTTTTATCACCATTCAGAGCTTTCAAAACTGAACAGAAACAGAAGAAACACAAAAGTTGAGTAAAAAGCATCTAACTATAGACTCTGCTGCTATAAAGCTGTAACATTCTGCAAATTATTTAACTCCTCAGAGCCTTACTTCCTTCATCTGTGAAATGAAGATTATAACACTCTTGTAGGCCGGGTACAGTGAGCATGCCTGTAATCCCAGCAGCTCAGGAGACTGAAGGCCGGAGAAGTCAAAGCCAGCCTCAGCAACTTGGCGAAGCCCTAAGCAACTTGGCGAGAACAAAAATAAAAAATAAAAGGAGCTGGAGATGCAACTCAGTGTTTAAGTGCCTCTGGGATCAATCCCTAGTATCAAAAAATAAATAAATAAAAATAAAAAACATCCTTGCAGGACTAACATCAAATTGTTAATATAATTATTAATAGAATTAGTATTTTACTTACTATATAACATGCAATTAATCAGTTAACACAT